CTGACCTTTCACAGGGAGGATGCTCTTGATAAATGTAGATCATTACTGTGTTCTGACATAAAAACATAATGGCATTCTGTGTTCCTTGGCAGGCTGATCAATATTTTATCTGCCAAAGCATGCAGAAGTGCTAAACAGGATGAATTACGTGGCTGCTGCAAGAAGCAAGAAGAGCAAGAAGCAGCATTGCTTGGAGCAGAGCATGTAAATTTGACAGTTATTTGCCACCTTTTAGCAATCACACCTTCATATGCTGGATTTTTCTTCTACTTTTTCTTCTGTCTTACTGTTTTTCTTTCCCTGTCTCTTTTTTATTTTTTTTTTCTTTTTTTTTAATTCAAACAGTTCCAGGCTTTACTGGGTTTGAAAATGCTCTAAACTGATAAGGAGGGCTTGTTTCATTGGAGATCTTCCCCAGCATGAAAAGGGAAATAATGGACTAGAATTGAAGAATCAGTTTAAGGCATGGCAGAATAGCAATTTTAGCTGATCCAGAGTTTGTGTGGGTGTCTCTCTGTGTGTTGGCTCCCCAGCTGTGTGGTGGGGATGGTGCCTGAGTACACACAGGGGGTCAGCTGGCAGTACCACACAGGCACCTGGAACACATGTGGTGACATTTCTGATGTTCAGAAACAGGGCAGGGAAGGAACACTTCAAAACCCCTCTCTGAAGAGCAGTGGTGGTCAGCTAAAATCACAGAATCACAAAGTCCTGAGTTAAAAGGAGCCCACAAGGATCATCAAGTCCAGCTGCTGGCCCTGCACAGGATAACCCCACAAGTGCCACCATGTGCCTGAGAGCATTGTCCAAATGCTCCTTGGGCTGTCAGCCTTGGTGCTGTGACCATTCCTGGGGAGCTGTTCCTGTGTCCAAGCACCCTCAGGGGGAAAAGCCTTTTCCTAACATCCCAACTAAACCTCCCAATACCGCTTGCAATTGTGAGCAGAATCCAAGTCCCTGGGAAGCTCTAACAAGGAAACCACGCTGAGAGACATCCATTAGCAAGACCTACCAAGGAGAGCAGCCTCAGATGAGATAAACTGCTAATGATGAGTTTGTGTTGCAAAGGAAACTGCTGGGGGCAGTCAGCAGAGAGAGAGGAGAGTGGGGATAAGTGAGAGGGCACACAGAGAGCTTTTCTGACATTCTTTTTGCTTAACAGTCAGATTTGTAATACCTGGAAGAACAGAACCAGAGGTGGCAGAAGCTTAAAGAGACAGTATTTAGTAGATAAAGTTGGTAGATGCTTGGCAGAGTGTAAGAAGATTACAGATGTCAGGACAGCAGGAGAGATTGAGAGGGAAGGAGGGGAAATACAGAGCTTTGCTCTCCAAGATGTATAAACCAGCTCTGTGTCAGCAGTCTGTAAGGAACTTAGGTTAAAAGATGCAATAATAATGCTTAGTAAATAAGGGGAAGGATCTTTGCTGCAGGAGAATCTTGCTGTCTTAGGTATTGACTTTCCAGATGTCTTGAGTATCCTCCATAACTTGGCTGAGCAGGCAGTGTCTTTTCTAGGACATCCATGTCTGGTTGCTGAAGCACCTTATTTTGTTTGAAAGAAATACCATTAGGTCTGGGTTGTGCAGCAGCACATCAGCTCACACATCCCAAGCACAGATAATTTCTGAGCTTTGGCCAGACTCAGTATAAAGTTAGTTTCAGGTCAGAGTACTTCAACTGACCTGGAGATGTTTTACCTCTGTTCTTTCACTACAGTAAGAATAAGTATATAATTATATATTTATATGCATATATATATATATTTTACAGTTGTAGTGCATTTCTCTATCGATCTTTTAGTCCAAAGGAGCAAATTATCAATCTCACACCCTGGGACAGAACTTTATTGCTTTTACTTGTGTGCTGCTAAACAGCTCAGCACTGCTGGGCTCTGACCAACTGCTTCTGTGTCACTGCACCCTCAGATGTCTGGGATGTCAGGGAAAATGTGCAAAGGTGTGAGACCCATGCAGTCTGTCACATCCCCACTCTGGAGAGAGGCTTGGGATCCACTTCCAGCAGAGCTGGAGAGTGTGATTTTCTCCAGAAGGAAGTGAAGGTATTGATTTGACAGGGGCTAGAAGCACCTTCTGACTTTCTGCCTGCAGCATATGTTAGCAACGTGTGAAACTGGACTTATTTTTTAAATAAGAGACATAATTGTCTTACTGCTGGTTTTCTTTGATGTGTTCACCATGGACTGGCCTTACCCTGCTGTGCAGGATGGGGGTCTGCTGGATCCATGACCCTGAACATAGCAACAGTGTGATGAGGAAAAATGTATTATGGGTTTATAGCAGGATTTGGGAATTGCTGCCAGCAGCTGTCACCAGCTCTGTCCTTCTGTGCTTTCCTTTATTTCACTCTTAGTGCCCATCACACTTGCCTGGAAGCTGCAGCATGGCTGTGACCCCCAAGGTAAATGGGCACATTTACCTTGGGCTGGCTGGCAGCCCAGAGCAGTGTGTAGTTTTTCAAGAAAAGCAGTTTTGTGGTGGCTTTGTTTTCTGAGCATGGAAGAATGCAGGAGGGCTGTAATTCAGTGAAAGGAGATCACTGTCCCCTGGCTTCACACCATGCTTGAGGGAACTGGGGGTTCAGCCTGAGAAAAGGAGGCAGGGGGACTTTCTCCCTCTCTGTAACTGCTTGGAAGTTGTAGCCAAGAGAGGGTCGAGCTCTTCTCCCAAGTAGTAAATGACAGGATGAGATGAAATGGCTTCAGGTTGTACCACGGGAGGCTTGGGTTGAGGATTAGGGAAAAATTCTTTTGGGTTGACTCCATCCAGCCCAGGATGGTGGTGGAGTCCCCATCCCTGCAACTGTGAAACAACCCCTGTAGATGTGACACTTGAGGTGGTGCTGAGGGAGGAAGGCTGGGAAAGCCTTACCCAGATAACAGCAAATATCCACAAAAAGAAGTCCCAGCTGCTGAAAACGAACCTGGAGGGTGTAAATGAAGAACTGCTTTGGCCTGTCCTTGTGGGGAGCACAAGGTAAGTGGGTCAGCCCACCCAGGTGTCACCATGTACATTGCCTGTAGCACTGCTGGTGCCCAATAATGGAAACCACAAAGCAGAAACAGAAGTGGAAGAAAATTAAATCGCTTTCCCTGTCTTCATTAGCCCTAGATACGTTTCTGGGATTAACTTTTGATTGAAAATAAAATTCCAGTTAAGAGAAAAAATATTATTGCTGTAGCTAAAACAGTATATACAACAGAATAGCTTGATTAAATGGATACGATAATCAGGTTTTCTCTTAAATAAGCTGGTGATTGAGTGGAAAATATATATATATACTGCCTTCACAAACCATCACATGACATGGTTGGAAATAAAAAAGTCAAGAATAATAAACACAACTAATAGTAGCTGAATAGCCTTGTTTTTTCTGTAAAACAAATCTGATCCCAAGTGGGACCCGGTGCTTTTTGGAGGTTGTTTAGAGGGAAGGAAAAATTTATCAGTTGCTTAATATCCCTGAGCAGCAGGAAGCTCTCCAAACTAGATGGGACTGAGTTCAGGGTAGGAAATAAGCCTTGTCTTGCAGTTCTTGTTCGTGTAGCACGAGGGCACTGACCTGGCTGGTTCAGCCTCTCTGTCCTCTCTCACCTTCTCAGGTCATAATGCTTTTGAAGTTGTGAGTACAAAATATGAAGGGTAAAAAAAAACCTTGACAGTAGATGGGTTTGCTATCAGAGAAGTGCCTCCCACCTGGAATTTTAATTGGGTTTCAGTTGGAGTGGGACCAAGAGGTCCAAAATGTTGCAGCTCAGCATGAAAGGGACAGGAGCATTAGTTGTCACTGTGCCAGAGTCTTCTGTTATTTTTCAGAGGAATAATGTTTAGAGTCTTTGGGGTGCTGATCTACAAGGGGGACCATCTTCTCTAAGATTTGAGTTTCAATCTTAGATTTAATCCAAGAGGATCAGTGATGGGATATAAAGGAAAGGTTTGTTTTAAACCCAGTATTGCAGAGAGTAAGGCTTTTACATTATAGGGAAGTTACATTATAGACATAAGGACATCTGAGGGGAGCAGCTGGAGGTGCTGATGCTGGTGGTGGGGTGTGGTTGGTACCCACAGAGTGTGGGACAGCTGGAGCCTGAGGGTGCTCCAGGCTCTGCTCCAAGGCTCCTGCAAGGCACCAGCCACTGTGCTCTGCACTAAAGAAAACAGATTTGCACAGAAGGACAGCTGCCATTTCCCATTCTGCTGAGCTCTGCCAGCCAACAGATGAGCAGAAAAGGGTCATAATATCTTGTACCACTTTGGGCATGTGGATGCATTTCCTTGAGGAGGGGAAGGGCTGGATGCTGCAGGCACAGCGTGAGCTTTCAGGGTCAGGAGGATTCAATCTGATTTCTTCAGCCAAGCCAGAGTCACTTCAGGGAGAGTGGCTTGAGGGCTTTTCCCTGGTAATAACCTTTTTCCCTGGTCAGGGACAGGACAGTGTTTATTTCAGCCTGCAGCGGGGTGATGAGAGCAGGCACTAGTGACACCACATCTGCAGGGGCTCCCCACAGCCCTGCTCTCCTCACTGTCCTTCCTCTGGCTTTCTACCACCCCAGGCTGCCTCTGGGGATTCCCTGAGATCAGCCCCATGTTTGACACAGGGTGACAGTCTGAGGTACCAGGTACATTAGTGGAACTTTCTAAACATCAGCTTCCCCAGGTTTATTTTTTACTTTATGGGATAAATTTATTCACATAGAAAAGCATAGAGCCAATTTAATATTTGTTGGAGTTACAAAACTGAGTGTGGCAGTCTATGACTGAAGCCCTATAAAATCTGGATGGTAACATCCTGAAGAGTATCCCTGACAGCAGGATTTAGAAAATCTGCCAGCTATTACAAAAGGCAACGACCACGGGAACTCCTCAAGTGCAGAGCTGAATATGCAGACATATGTGCCTAATTTTTCCTTTTAGGCCCTGAGTCCTTTGAAGAGATAAGGATAAATGCACATGGTGCAGTAATTCTGTCTTATTTCTCAGGGGACAGGTGCACGATGGCAGACTACAGCCGGCTGAAGAGCGTCCTGCTGGACCTGCAGGCTCGGCGCCAGAGCCCCCCTGGCAGCCTGGCCAAGGACAGGCCAGCCCAGAAACGCTTCCTCATTGGAGAGCTCTTTAAGCACTTGGACCTCAACAGCGATGGGCACCTCAGCAGCTCTGAACTGGCTCAGGTAGGTTTATTGTTCAGTGAGAATGGAATTATGGAGTGGATTTTCATTCAAAGTGTGAATTGAATGGAACGTGGCAGCACTCGGGTGGGAATGGTCATTTGTACCTGTCCAGTCAGCAGCAAGTACAGGAGGAAAGTCTAACACAGTCAGTGAGTCTCTCTCTGCATCTCCCAGGAGTCAGCATTGTCTCAAACATTTGAAGCTCATCTCCAAACAAAAACATGGCAGCTTTCCAGCCCCATCCATACTCCTCAAAATAGATAATAATCCTTGCTCTGCTAACTGACATCTTCTGAAGTATTTCTAGTTGGCTGGCTTGGGGAGAATCAAGTTAGATTTTTTAGGTGCATGTAAGTTAGGCAGCAATCTCTCAATTCTTCTCCCTGCCTTCTGGACTGTGCATTAGCATAGAGTAATGTGACAGCAAAGTTGGGATGTTTGTCAGCAGGTATATTGTCCTAAAATCCCTGGGCAGATGCTGAAATGATTGGGATAGCAGAAATTAATAGAAAAGGTAAGAGCTTGAAAAAGCTATTATTTGTAATTTCAGGCATGCTGTGCTGTTGGAATTCATCTCCTTGGTAAAGTGAATCAAACAGCCATCCTGGGCACCCAGCCTGGGTATTCTGTGTCCTCAGCTTGCTCTTTGCACATGCAGACCTAGGATAACAGTCCTGTAAAATATCTTTCCATTCCATTATGTCATCCATGAGAAGAATTAGAAGCAAGTGCCTTCTAAGAGCCCTTTGGAAGCCAGTCCTATCTAGGACCTATTCCAGTTTCCAAAGCTGTTCCTTCATAGAATGATGGAATGGTTTAGGTGGGAAGGGACCTGAAAGCTGACCTCATTCCACCCCGTGCCATGGGCATTGACTCCTGCCACTAGACCAGGTTGTTCAGAGTAATTTCACCCTTGAGTGTCTCATCTGCTCTCTGACTTCCCAGGGAACACAGAGTGTGTTACAGGCACGAGCCTGCTCCTCCCTGAGCTCACTCCTCTCCAGGACAGTTTGTGCTGCGTTTTAGTCCTCAGGCTGTTGACAGGATGCTTGATCCTTTCCACACAATGCAAATTGTCAGTGTAAATTCCCTTAGATCTCACAGCTATGAATATATGCAATATTTCCTCTGAAGGCAATGATTTTTTTATAAAGACATGGTAGCTATAAGAAAACACTTTTATCTTAATTCAAAGCCAGATTTTACATAGTGGCATCTAAGTGTCTGTTCTATTGTCCATTTTTTTGCCCTTTTTACATGAAATTAATTTTATTAGGATCTTAAAACTCTCATGGAAATAAAGGTTTGGCAGCCTGCAAGCAATTGTTATTGCAAAGGAGCTCAGGCAGTGCTGTAAGCTCTGCCTCAAAGTTCCTCTGGGCTTTGTTTGCAGATGTGCCTGGAGCCTGGGTCTCTCTCACAAGTGCAAACACAGACATTGGCTACTCTTATTTTAATTCTTCTCACTGTTATCAAAATCAGAAAATATCTGGAGCCCACTGCAGTTTGATAGAGCAGAATAAGTTCAGCCTCAGCCAGGAGCCCTCTCACCCAGGCATTCTCCACACAATCTGGCCACCAGCATGGCTGAGCTGACAGTGGGATCACCTCTCAAAAGACAAAATAATACCTTTTAATGCACAATTTAGATAAACCATGAGTGCTTTTAGTCCTGAGCTGAGTGTCTCTGCTCTTGGGCCCCTTGGTGGCAGCATGGCTGAGGACACATCTGTGGGCAGCTCTGGGCTCTCACAGGAGCAGGATTCACAGTTTATTTGTAACATGCCAATTCTTTATTTTTCTCTTTAACAAGATGATTTTTATGTGCTCTTACAAGAGCAGTTTATCCACCCAGGTTTCAAGGGACATTTTTTTAGGTAATGAGCAATTGTTAATTACCCAGGTTATAGTCTTAACAGAACTATTCTTACCTCTTTCTTAGGTAGATTTGTAATTGATTTGCATTAGCTCTCTATTTTGAAGCTCTCTGCAACTTTAAATTTCCCCCAAAGATGGGAATTTCGTTGCCCATGGGCAGAGGAAGCTGAGCTGAACGTGATGCAGTGAGATCTGACTGCTGGATGAGCTGGTGCTGTGCCTTTGCTTTGTTTTATTTAAAAGAAAAATAGTCTCTTGAGCACTATAATTTTGTCTGCAAGCAAAAACTCAAGGCAGGTAACTTGCACTGCTGCAGTAAAAAGTGATTTTTAAGAGCTGGAAGTGGATCTTTAGGAGGCTCACTGCAGAGGGATTCACCCCAAAGGAGAGTCCTCCAGGGGGGATGGTCCTTCATGGATTCAGCACCCATCTGTGTGTTCTTCACAACACAATTGCTTTGAACAAAACAATGGCAACAGTTGGCCCAGCCCATTCTATTTAGAGCTGGTTTGCTTCCTGTCTGCTGGTAGACCCTATCCAATATTTTCCCTCTGGACCCAGCAGTGAAATTGCCGTGTAGTTTTGCAACCATGGATAAAGGCTATTAACAATGGTGGTAACTGGACTATTATTTCCATTTAAATCTTTAATGTATTTTAAAGTCAGGTTCATAAGGTTCATCTACTAAGTGTGTCACAGCTGAAGTGTTTTCCACTGTTTTTTTTCCCTGACATTAAATCAAAAGGACTAGTAAAAACTTGTCAGTCTTATGAAAAGTTAATCAATTCTCTATACAAAGGGTAGACAAAGGGAAGTTTCCATCTTTAGAGGATTGATCTTGGAAGTTATGGTTCATCTCACTTTTATTGAATACTTTTTACTTGCTAGGTGAAGGGTCATTTTTTTAGCATTATTACTCTAAATTGCTTCAACATAATGGGTCAAGACTAGAATAGTAAATAAAAGAATCCCTGGCCTACAGGAAAAAGCTTTCCTGTCTGGAAGATGCAACTGTTCAGCAGTTTTCTTCATGTTCTACAATAAATTCAGAGAACCCAAATGAAATGCTGAAAAAAACAAAAGAAGCAAACTCTCAGGGGTTGGAAAAGCACATCAGTATTGAGTACACCATCCACTATTGCCTGTTCTAGTCCTAAAATCAGGGCACACTATTTTGTCCTTACTTACAGAGGAGAAAAGAGAAACAGACTTTCCTTTTTCCCTGTTGAATATTTATTTTTCAGTCCGTTTTCAAAACAAAAATGCATCTCTGTGGTGCTGGTAAAGGAAGGGGCTCTTCAGTCCATGGTCCATGAAGTGCTGCAGGAATACAAATATCTTGATAGAAAGCAAATATATAATGGTAGATATGATAATTTATCTGTGTGTCTGTCTGTCTGTCTACCTATCTATCTATCTATGTCCCCAAAGGTCATTTCATGGAAAATCTGCCAGGTGAGCCAGGCCAGCAGTGTGTAGCATTGCATTACATGTAAGGTCACCTGTTCTCTTTGCTGCAGTTGATGAAGAAGGAGGACCTGGAGGGTGATTTTCTGGGTTGTACACTTGAAGACCTTCTCCAGTTTGATGATTACAACAACGATGGCCACCTGACCCTGCAGGAGCTCTACACAGCCTTCCGTGAGTCCCTGCTTTGCTCTGTCCTGGCTTTTGGAGCATGGCAGTATCTGTGAGGGCACTGTTGTCTTCCTAGATGTGGTCAGCCAAGATGATGCCTTTTTTTGTCTTTAATGCCATGAAAACTCTTTGGAAGGCTCGTTTCCAAGGTGTCTGTGCTCCACAGTGTGGAGCAGGAGGTTGGTACAGGTGTGTCAAGTTTATTGTTTCTTCTGTGTCTTGTTGTGCTTCTTGTTGATGGCAAGGGAGAGATGGTGGCCTGGCCAAGGTCTGTAGACCTGAGTATGTGGTTTGATTAACCCTAAAGAAACAAGATGGAAACCTGTCTAAAGGTCCTGTGGTAATATGAGTTAGTTTGCTCTGGCGAAGGTGTTTACTGAATATTTTGCCTGGGAATTATGTTTTCTACTTTTTTTTTTTTCCCATGTTAATGAGTGTATTAGAGTTTGCAATCATGATACAAATCTCAGCATCCTGTGCAAGGATCTGGGAATCACAGAGCTGCTTAAACAGTGGGATATAATCAATATTTCTGTTATCCCATTGATCTTTATAAATAATTCTTGCTTCAAGGTAAGCATTTGTTGAAGTCCTTCACTGGAAAAGGCCCACACTGTTCCCTTCATCTAGGTGATAGAAAGTTGTGTTGTTGCCCATTCCTTTGGGATACTAAAGAAAAAAGCAAATGGCCAAGGTTATTCATTAATCAGGACAGTGAGCTACAGAGAACTTGGGTGTGGTTAAGACATTGTGGCTAAAGCTGAAGCAGGATTCAACCATTGACTCTGCTGAGTGCAGGGAAAGGGCCAATAACAATGTGGTTACCTCTTAAGCAGGATTCTTTTCTAAAGAGGGTGATGTCTGTTTTCTTGATTTACAGCTTTTCATTAAAAAAACCCCAATTTAGATAATAATAACAGAATGGTTTGGGTTGGAAGGGGCCTTAAAGATTATCAAGTTCCATCCCCTGCCATGGGCAAGGACACCTGGCACTAGTCCAGGTCACTCCAAGCCCCATCCAACCTGGCTTTGAGCCCTTCCAGGGATGGGGCAGCCACAGCTGCTCTGGGCACCCTGTGCCAGGGCCTCAGCACCCTCACAGGGAGGGATTTTTTCATAAAATATCCAGTCTAGCCCTGCACTCTGTTAGTTTGAAGCCATTCCCCCTTGTCCTATCATACCATGCTCTTGTTAAAAGTCCCTCTTCACCTCTCCTGTAGGCAGCCTTTAAATAATGGAAGGTGTTTAAAGTGCTTTAAGATTAGCCCCAGTTGTCACCATGGACCTGTTTGAGCCACACATGCATTTAATTCAACACAGCAGATACACAGTGAAACATAAAATCTCATACATTAAGAAGGCATAAAGTGTATTAAACCAGCTATAAAGGCTTGACATGCAGTTATTTGGGAGCATATTTAGATCAATGGGTTCTCAAAGTCACATCAACTTAGAAATAATTCTTGGAATTTAGGTTTATGGGTTTTGGTTCAGAGAGTTTTAAGTAGGCAAGGAAAATAAGACAAGTACAAAATATGAATCAATTAATAGCAATAATATTGATAAACTGCACAATTGATCTTAACAAAACACAAGGTGTAACAATGACTGTTTGTCAGAGGAATTTGGTATCTGAACAGAATTGCTCACCAAGTGAAGCTGAAAACTAGATGACTTCTCCATTTTCAGTTTTCCCAGAATCCTGACTTTTATCAAGAGCAGGTAATGGCTCACCAGCTTTTAATTTAAAACCAAAGTTAATTTGCTTGCAACTTTTGAAATTTTGGGGAACCTGGAAGCAAATTTTATGCCTGGTTGAAGTATATTTTTTCCCTTTGCTTTATTAAATGATGTAGGAAAAATACTTTAAACACTTAAGGGCACACTTTGGTTTATGAAAATTTTGTTTATCAGATTTCTGCTTTGTTATGAGTCAGAATTTGGCTTGCAGCACTAGTTTAAAGGAACATCAAATGTGCATCCTGCGCATTTCCCCTATTTTTTGCCTATTAGAGAGATCTTTTTGTTGCTTGAAGTTCACCCAAGCCATGAATTGTGGCTGCCACAGGCTGGCAGCAAGGTATGGGCACGGCTGCACAGCAAGCTGAGTAACATAATTACCAGAATTCAGTGACATCAGAAAGTCTCAATCTAATTTATCCTCTCAAACTCTGTCACATCTGTTTTGGTGCTCTGTGCTCTGGTGGAGTGTCGCAGTGTTGGAAAGGTTTGAAAATGACCTTGATAATGTGAAGAGCTTCCCCATCTGACATTCTTGTGCTGCATTACAAGTTGTATTTCATTTTAGAGAGTCTTGTGGCCTTGCTGTAACTCACAGAGCCACAAAATGGCCTCTTTCTCTCACTCCATGTGTGTCTCTTGCTTTCCCTTGATCCATCCTCTCACTCTGAGACCCTCAGGGACCCAAAGGTTATTTTTCTTCCTCATCATGTTAATCATCTGTAAATAAATGAAAAGTGCATGAATGAAAGAAATCCAGTCTTACATTTTCTGAAATGTGGTTTTGTCAGTACAAGCACTACATCTAATAGATGCTATTTTTAATCATCACTTCTAACCATGCTAATAGTTTTCTTACACATTTTAATGCACAGTTTTGGATTATGGACAGAAATAGTGGCCTTCCTTCTAAACCTACCATCTTTCTTCTGGTTTTCTGAAAGTTCTTTTGTTCCTTAATCCCAAAAATTAAGCTGTTAAGCATTTTCTTGCATCTATCAGAATGACTAGAAATATCTGTTAACACAGGATTAAAGTGTCAATTTTCAAATTGTCTTAATCATACACAAGTAGTGCATGAGACAGATGAAACACTCTCCTGGCAGATCTGGTAAGAACCACTTGTAGGTGTCTTCTAATTCCTCATTAATAAATTTTTATTAGATAAGGAGTCTCAGGACCATAATTAAATAAAAATTGATATGATGATCTTGAGATTTTTCACGTGCCAAAAATAGAGCACTAGAAAGATTATTTGTCTGTTGTCTTTTCTTTAAGTTGTCACAAAGATTCAATACATGACTAATAAATGAAAGGCTTAGATGTCATAAGAGCTAAAGCAGTGCATGATCTAATTAATCAGCACAGAGATGGCCTGGTGAGTTGGCAAGCACATCACCCAGCTGAGTCATACTTCTAGCAATGCTCAGATGGGTGGTTTTTGGATGAAACTTCTGGCACTGTATCTGACTGGAGGTCATTAAAATTAGGCATGACACTTCTGGCATTCCTGTTGTCTTCTCTAATGGGCAAGTGGCAGGTTGGCAGATGTGAAAGCCCAACTTAAGAAAAAAAGTCTGTTTAATCTTCTAGATCTGTATCATCATCATCAATATGGACAGGTCAATTTGTAATACAGATAATTGAGGGAGAGGGAAAAGATGCATTCCATCAAAATGCCTTTATCCTGTCAGCAGTGTTTAGCTAATAAGGAGTTATTAAACCAACAATAAAATCCCGTTAAATTCTAGATCATGGCCCATTAAAGTACTTTCCTGATGTCATAGCTGGACCAAAACAACCTACAAATGAAGTTTGAAAGAAAAATACTGATTTGTTATTTTTCAGTCCAGTTGTTATTTGCCATGGTCTGTTGCATATAAGTTACATGTAGACAGAAAATTGCTGTTTCTGTAAGATGAGAGGCATGTCATCCATGGATATATTGCTATCTAAAAAACACAAGTAGGGACATTTTTCATGCAGGAATGAATGCAGCAGCAGCTGCAGGATTAATGTGCTCTTCTCTTTACTCCACTTAAGGAGTATAAGACAATGTTTTTCTTTGCTCCCTGATTCTGTTTCAGGTCAAATCTTCCTTTTTTAATATGTCCTTAATATTAACCAAAAAAAGCAAAAGGAACAAGTATGAAAATGAGATGTGCACACTTTCAGCAGGAGGTCAGGGCAATACCAGGGAGGGTGGATGGTGCCAGCCCCAGGCCCTGGGGCTCTCCCAGCACCACCACCAGGGCCTGGGAGACCAGATGGAATTTGAATGAACTGGGTGAAAAAATGAATTTGAGAACCTGGGCTGGCCATAGGTGTCAGGTAAATCACTGCCAATGCAGAGGAGCAGTGTTGGACTGGCTCCAGATTTACTGGACTGATCCTAAAATCTCCAGGAGTTGTACTCCCCACAGCTGTGTGGTGTGGAGAAGGGAGCAATCCATTCCTGATTCCTCCACCATCCTACAGAGGCTCATTAGAAGTGTGGACTAGAAGACAGATTTATTTATTTATTTTTTTTTTTATTTTTTATTTATTTTTGAGTGCATGTTTCTGATTCACTAGAAACTACTTTAGGGCAGAGCTTTTAATTGTCCCAAAATTGTGGAGATTGATACTGACTGGGTAAAAGCAAAGCTCTACCTTGAGAAACAGGGAATGAAACATAAAAAGGGACTTGCAGGGTCAAGTGGAAGAGGAAGGTGTTGTGTGAGGAAGAAGCTTTCAGCAGGTTATCTGTTCTTGGTAGATATATCAGCATATCCAACTGTATGGTCTCATAATAAATAAGGTGATAATGGTGAATAAATATTGTTTGAGAAAAGAAATGCCTCTATTTTCCGTGTGTGTCTGTATATGCACTCCACACACGTGTGGCAAGCCAGCTGTTCCAGCAGCAATTGCACCTGTAAAATCCATGTTTAGGTGAAGTGTTTATCCACAAATTCAGGAAGCTGTTCTTGATGGCACAGCACCTACAGTCAGGTATTTGTTGCTGTTTCCTTCCAGCTGGATTGGTCAAGCCCAGGTAATTACATTGGACAAGTATATTGTGAGATAAAATGTTTTGCTTGCAGTGTTTTCTTAAGCAGTGTTGTAGCAACAGTTATCTACAGAATCAAATCATAGCTCTGAAATATTGACAGTTTGTGCCCCATGCTCTGCCTCTCCCGCTGTCATCTCCCTGGTATGTGATTTTTCTTTCATGTTGCTGCAGATATTGGTACAAACTTGGAAATAATTCATTAGCTGAC